CTAACTTAAATACACAAATCCGTGTATACTTACAGTGGCCTGGTGGCTGAAGCTCCCGCTCCACACACGGAGGGCCCGGGTTCGATTCCCGGTATGTGGAAACATTTCGACACGTGTCCTTACACCTGTTGCCCTGTTCACCTAGCAGCAAATAGGTACCTGGGTGTTAGTCGACTGGTGTGGGTCGCATCCTGGGGGACAAGATTGAGGACCAAAATGGAAATAAGTTAGACAGTCCCCTATGACGCACTGACTTTCTGGGGTTATCCTGGGTGGCTAACCCTCCGTGGTTAAAAATCCGAACGAAATCTTATCTTATCAGTAGGTGATCGCCCGAAATGCACTTCATATATTATTGACATTCTCCTGTACCTTTATTTGTATCACATTATTTATACTCGTATATTCTGCAACTCCTTCGTATAGCTCATGAGAAACAGAAAAAAACTGACTTGAATTAATAAAATTAACGAAGTAAAATGACCATTTCTAATTTAGCTAAAAGAAAAAAAGAAAAAAAAATAATTTTGGGAGAGGCTAAATTACATAAATCTATTAAAAAAATATTTAACCGTAAATTATAACTAGTTTCTCATTAGTGGCCGCAAAAAACACAACTAAACATACACTTGCGTTTACCAATACAATTTATACTGTTATACGAACGTATAAATTAAGTAGTATAATGCTGGGTTTTTTTTGGGGGGGAAACGTAACTAATATTTACTTTTAATTCCAGGCCAAAACAGCCATTATTTTTTTTAATATAAACACGATACACCGGCAGTTTTTTTTTTTTTTTGTATAAAATTGTAATTGTGCGAGATATGGTTAATATTTATGGCGTCTTGACGTAAGTTAACCTCGCCTCAGTTGTTAAATAATGTTACATTAAATACAGTACACAATTACAATGGTAATTAATTAAGTGCTCACATTGTCCGTCTCATTGTCTTATCCACTAAAATAGGGAATTAATTTGAAGATTAAGACACATATGAAACACCTTGATATTTTTATTGATGAAAAGTTTCGTCTGTACAGTAGATTTCTTCAGTCAGATACAAAGGGAGCAGTAGTAATGAAATAAAGATGATGCAATCAGTCCATCAACCCTGGGGAAAAATTATTTGAAGTGGTCAGTCCCTCACCCTGGAGAAGAGTTCACCTCCATGGAGATAAACTTGTCGGTATTTTATTTTCGAGAATTAAATAATGAAAAAAAAAGAGAAATCACAATTTTCGTCGGGAGACAGTACTCCAGTGAGGCAGCCTGACAGGTGGTTGCTGGAAGGGTGACCCGGGGATGATATACTCACGTTTATGTGATTGCTGGGGTTGATTCACAGCTCCTGGTACCCGCCTCTTCACTGTGATTGGTCAGGCGTGTTATGTGACTTAATGCTAGCAGTTGATTGGTCCTTCCGAGAGCTAATCAAGCGTAGTATTCTGGCTAGTATCTCCTAAAATAACAATTTGTTAAAGATTTCACTATTTTTTTGTGGACAGCTTTCGTATATTTAATATTAAAATAAAGCAAGGACTGAGTTCTGACTCGGAGTTAAAATAAATATTTGGCAGTAATAATAATGACAGTAATTATATATATTATTATTGTAATCATTATTGCATTCATGAGGAGCACTAAACTTGTAGGGGCCATATGGCACGAGAGGAGTTCGAGACAATCAGATTCGATCTAAGGTAAGAGAGATAGTAGTTCAAATACCTTAGATCAAGAGCCCTTCACCAGGTTCAAGGGGACCTCCCTTCAGGGGTAGAATAATAATAATAATAATAATAATAGTAATAATAATAATAATAACTTTACCTTGTCATACTGTTAATGGTCTTATCATGATTGTTGTCGCAGTCGTCTGGGCACTGTCATCACCTGCTTCGAGGAGGTCCTGGTCGACTGTGACAACGGCTACGACTTTTTCAGGTGAGTGCCAGGTGATGATGGTGACTGTTGTGCACCAGTGCCAGGTGATGATGATGACTGTTGTGCACCAGTGCCAGGTGGTGATGGCGAGTGTTGTGCACCAGTGCCAGGTGATGATGGTGACTGTTGTGCACCAGTGCCAGGTGATGATGATGACTGTTGTGCACCAGTGCCAGGTGGTGATGACGAGTGTTGTGCACCAGTGCCAGGTGGTGATAGAGAGTGTTGTGCACCAGTGCAAGGTGGTGATGGTGACTGTTGTGCACCAGTGCCAGGTGATGATGGTGACTGTTGTGCACCAGTGCAAGGTGGTGATGGCGAGTGTTGTGCACCAGTGCCAGGTGGTGATGGCGAGTGTTGTGCACCAGTGCCAGGTGATGATGGAGAGTGTTGTGCACCAGTGCCAGGTGGTGGTGGAGAGTGTTGTGCACCAGTGCCAGGTGGTGATGGCGAGTGTTGTGCACCAGTGCCAGGTGGTGATGGCGAGTGTTGTGCACCAGTGCCAGGTGGTGATAGAGAGTGTTGTGCACCAGTGCCAGGTGATGGTGGAGAGTGTTATGCACCAGAGCCAGGTGGTGATGGAGAGTGTTGTGCACCAGTGCCACGTGGTGATGGTGAGCGCATTGCACCAGTGCCAGGTGATGGTGAAAAGTGTACTGTACCAGTACCAGGTGATGGTGGAGAGTGTACTGTACCAGTGCCAGGTGATGGAAAGTGTTGTGCACCAGTGCCAGGTGATGTAGAGTGTTGTGCACCAGTGCCAGGTGATAGTGGCGAGTGTTGTGCACCAGTGCCAGGTGATAGTGGCGAGTGTTGTGCACCAGTGCCAGTGATAGTGGCGAGTGTTGTGCACCAGTGCCAGGTGATAGTGGCGAGTGTTGTGCACCAGTGCCAGGTGATAGTGGCGAGTGTTGTGCGCCAGTGCCAGGTGATAGTGGCGAGTGTTTTGCACCAGTGCCAGGTGATAGTGGCGAGTGTTGTGCACCAGTGCAGGTGATAGTGGCGAGTGTTGTGCACCAGTGACAGGTGATAGTGGCGAGTGTTGTGCACCAGTGCCAGGTGATAGTGGCGAGTGTTGTGCACCAGTGCCAGTGATAGTGGCGAGTGTTGTGCACCAGTGCCAGGCGATAGTGGCGAGTGTTGTGCACCAGTGCCAGGTGATAGTGGCGAGTGTTGTGCACCAGTGCCAGGTGATAGTGGCGAGTGTTGTGCACCAGTGCCAGGTGATAGTGGCGAGTGTTGTGCACCAGTGCCAGGTGATAGTGGCGAGTGTTGTGCACCAGTGCCAGGTGATAGTGGCGAGTGTTGTGCGCCAGTGCCAGGTGATAGTGGCGAGTGTTGTGCACCAGTGCCAGGTGATAGTGGCGAGTGTTGTGCGCTAGTGACAGGTGATAGTGGCGAGTGTTGTGCACCAGTGCCAGGTGATAGTGGCGAGTGTTGTGCACCAGTGCCAGGTGATAGTGGCGAGTGTTGTGCACCAGTGCCAGGTGATAGTGGCGAGTGTTGTGCACCAGTGCCAGGCGATAGTGGCGAGTGTTGTGCACCAGTGCCAGGTGATAGTGGCGAGTATTGTGCACCAGTGCCAGGTGATAGTGGCGAGTGTTGTGCACCAGTGCCAGGTGATAGTGGCGACTGTTGTGCACCAGTGCCAGGTAACCTTAACAATTTTTGCTATGATTTATGATCTGATTTTACTTAAAAATTAAAATATGTTAGAAAATGTTTGACTTCGTTCTCAATAGTCAAAATATTCAATTAAATAACGTTTCAGCACATTTTTTTCCTATATATTTTTAATATATTTATATTTTTGAACATAACCAATAATTGGGTTTTTATTCTACTTAAGTTATATGTTAAATCTCTATAATACATTTTGACAATTTTCAAATTATACCGCAATGAATAATTTGTATATTTGAAAAGTATATAGAGTAATAAGTGGTTTTTCAAGGTATTCAAGCTGAGCACAAAGAAGTTGTAGTGATTTCTGTGAAATTTTAAATGCTTTGAACACCATCATTTGTGATAATGAAGAGGTCGTCAAGCTTTCTGAACACTGGTGGTAGGGCGAGCATGATGGCATGATCCTGTGGGCACATCTGGGTATCTATATTCTGTAGACGTTTCACCAACCAGTAACTTTAGCAATATAGTACAGAAGAATGAAGAGGTAGATGAGGTAATCAGTCCCCCAGCTCAGGAGCAGGTAGTCAGTACCGTTAGTCTTGATTCGTCAAGACTACGGTACTGAGTACCTGCTTCTAGGCTGTCGGAGATCACTATCCTCGTCAACAACTCCTTGGATGGTCTGATTCCTGACGTAATTAGACCTTTTTTTCTTGGTGCATCACCTTGTGCTCTTAAAAAAGAAGAATGGGGGAATTGCAGTGGGCAACACTCTTTGCCGCCTCGTTTCCAAAGCTGCTGTCCGAAGTATTCACACAGAGACAGCCATGATGCTTCAAGCAAACTAGCTCTGCTTTGAGGTCCCTCAGTCAAGTGAAGCAGCGGTTCGTGCAAGAAGGGCGAATATCAACAACCTGCCTGAGGACAGTGCAGTGGTAAAATTAGATTTCAAGAATGCATTTAATCTCTTGAAAAGAGACGTGGTATTATCAGCTGTACAAGAACATTTCCCTGGTCTCTTCCCTTTTGTTTCAGCTGGACATAGCACGGAATCAGTGCTTCTGTTTGGAGAGCATGGAATCACATCATCAGAGAGTGTCCAGGAAGGTAATCCTCTCGCACCATTTCTCTTCTGTATAGCGGTTAGGGAAATTACAGTGAGCTGAACATCTAGTTCCTGGATGATAGCACACTGGCGGGTACAAAGGAGTTCCTTCTAGATGATCTTACACAGGTGATGACACGGGGACAGGAAAATGGGTCTCATCCTGAATCCACCCAAATGGTCGACGCAGTGAGATCAAAACTACCAGGATCATCAGTCATTGTCCTCACAAATAGCGTCTTGCTTGGAGCACCTCTGGGAAGTGATGCCATTGACTCAGTTCTCAGGAAGTGGAAGAGTTGAGGGGTATGGAACAACGAATAGGCAATCTTGACGCCCAAGATGCCTTGTACCTTCTCCCAAAGTGCTTGAGTCTGCCCAAGTTGACATATTTCCTAAGATGTGCACCTTCATATGATAACCCTATACTGCACGAGTATGACAGTATCCTGAGGCAGATTTTTACGAAAGTACTCAATCTTACTCTAAAAGATGGGAAGTGGAACCAAGCTACACTTCCAGTCAGACTAGGAGGCATTGGTGTCCGCAAGTCATCACAGATTGTGCTACCTGCTTTCCTGTCTTCGTGTGTTGCATCCAGTGCGCTTGTAGCAGCGATTCTCCTTGAACATCTTAGGACAAGATTGGAATCTGACCAAAAGTTCATTGACGGTGCCATGATCTGGGATAATCTAATGGGCTCTGAAACTAGACCTGCGTCCCACCCCCCCTCCAAGAACTACAAACAGTCACACTGGGATGGCCCAATAGTGGAGAATATAGTCTCAACAATGCTTCATAGTGTATCAGGGAAGGATATAGCCCGGCTCCTTGCAGTGAGAGCCTCTCATTCATGGGACTTTCTGTTGGCTATTCCTGACTCCAGCCTTGGCACACGCCTCGACCCACAGACCATCCGCATTGGTGTCGCCCCAATTCTCACCGAGCACAGGTGTATTTGCAGCAGTGAAGCAGAAGACCGATTCGGGTACCATGGTGTTGTGTGCCGTAGATCCGAGGAAAAGATTACAAGGCATGAAGAGGTTAACATTAAGAGGAGCCTCACAACAGCCGGATGCGCAGCAATAAGGGAGCCACCCCAGCTATGCAGATTTAATGGAAACCAAAAGCGTCCAGATGGTATCACCCTTCAAGCCTGGACAGACGGCCAGCAGGTGGTGTGGGACTACACATGTGCATCTACCTTGGCTGATACCTATCTCCAATATACCAGGGAGGAAGGAGGGGCAGCTGCCAGCTTCAGGGAGTCCCAAAAGTCTAGAAAATATGGAGAACTTGCCCATCATTATGTTTGTTCCCATAGGCTCAAAGACCCTTGGCCCACGGGAAGAGTGCATCTTAGTTCCTTAAGGAGTTAGTCAAAAGACTCAAAAGGGTAACTAGGGATCCCAGAGCAGCTAGTTTTCTATTTCAGCCACTCAGCGCGGCGGTTCAGAGGGGCAGTGCCAGATGTATCTTGGGCACGAACCCCAGCTCTGAGGAGCTGCATGACATTTTCCCATTATAATCAGTGATAAACACGTAGCAATATGTACTGGAAATGTATCCCTCAAACTTCATGTACTGTATATGGCATCTTTATACCAACAATGTATCTTTTAAATCTTTTGTACCATATTATGTAATAAAATATACCAACGGTAAAAAAGAATAAAAGATGGGGTGGTAGGGGAAGTGGAATATTCAAATGGCTTCAGGAAGAAATCCAAATATCTTCTTCGAAGCCTTTTTATCCACTTCTCCGAGGTTATGGGTCCCACAATTTACACCCCACACACACACCCCACACACACAACACCACACACACACACACACACACACCACACACACACACACACACACACACACACACACATACACACACACACACACACACACACATATATATATATATATATATATAATATATATATTTATATATATATATATATAATATTATATATATATATATATATATATAATATATATATTATATATATACGCATATATTATACGCATATATATATATACGCATTATAACAGACAATGTAACTAATATAATGGTGATGATGTTACAGATACCGCCACCTGTTACACTCACTAGACCGGGTTCATAAATACCTCTGCCGCACCGCTGATGACCGCACCACTAAGTTCTTACGTAAGTTGTGTGTGTGTGTGTGTATGTGTGTGTGTGTGTGTGTGTGTGTGTGTGTGTGTGTGTGTGTGTGTGTGTCTGTTAGTTACGTGTGTCTGTGTGTGTATGGGTGTACCTATTTGTGATTGTAGAGGTTGAGTCTCGGCTCTTGGCCCTGTCTCTTGCTGCATCTACGTATTACTCCTGGCCTCGTGGGTCCTGTCATACCTTTTCTTTAAACTGTGTATGGAGCATTCTTTCGCTACTTCGTCTAAATCAATTAAGGCTTGAGATATATTTTCCTGACATCTGTCTGACTCATCTTTGTTCTTAACTTTCAAGTAAGCCCTCGTGTACAGTACTTGTTTCACACCTGTATGGCTGTCCCCTCTATTATTTCCTCTTAGTATTTTGTATGTCATTATCATGTCTCCCTTAGTTGTTCTGTCCTCTAATATCGTAAAGTTCAGTTAGTTACCTTTAGCTAACTCCTCTGAGACTAACATGTGGTGAATATAGCACTATGAATGTCTTTGTTGACACTCCTGCAACTTACTCTTATATCTGCTAAACCAGCATTCACTGCAGAGTTTATTCAGTTGATGTGTGATTCTTGCAATATACTCGGCACTGTGCTCACCCCCTGGTCTCTTGCTGTCTTTAGTGAGGTGTGTAGCCTCTCCCGAATCTGTACCTGTTTCCAGTCTTCTTACCCTTTTCTTATTTTTTATAACCATGCACTTGCTGGGGTTGAATTCAAGTGGCCACTTGTTTGATCAATCTTTCACTTTGAATAAAACCATTTGTAGCCTTTTTAACCACATCGATTTTTATTTTCCTCAATTTTACGTAGTCTTCAAACTGGGATACACCTGATTCCATCTCTTCTGGTATGTCTTTCACACATTGAAAAAACAGTTTGGATTCTAATACTGATCCTTGAGGAACCCACTTATTACACTTTCCCATTATGACAACTCTTCGGATTCACTCACTTTGTTTCTTTCCCATATAGCTTTTTTTTCATCCGCCGTAGTGCATTCCCTGTTATGTCTTCCTTCTGAAGTCTTGGTCCCAGTCGCTCTGATGAAGCAATTATACGCATGCACATGCACACAGAGAGCAGAGGACAGAGAGCTGGCAGGGAAGTCAGTAAACGAGATGATGGAATATATTACAATATGCAAAAGATACTGAGGAGAGGTTTGTACCCAAGGATAACAGGAATAACGATAAAGCCAGGATGAGCCCATGGTTCACCCAAAGGTGCAGGGAGGCCAAAACCAAGTGTGCTAGAGAATGGAAGAAGTATAGAAGGCAAAGGATCCAGGGGGATAAGGAGAGCAGTCGTAGAGCTAGAAATGAATGGGCACAGGTAAGAAGGGAGGCCCAAAGACAATACGAGAATGACATAGCAGCGAAAGCCAAATCTGACCCAAAGCTGTTGTACAGCCACATCAGGAGGAATATAACAGTCAAGGACCAGGTAATCAGGCTGAGGAAGGAAGAGGGGGAGGTCACAAAAAATGACCATGAAGTATGTGAGGAGCTCAACATGAGAGTCAAAGAAGTGTTCACAGAGGAGACAGAAAAGCCTCCAAGAAGGTGGAGAGGTGGGGTGCATCATCAAGTGCTGGACACAATACATACAACCAAGGAAGAAGTGAAGAGGCTGCTCAGCGAGCTAGATACCTCAAAGGCAATGTGACCGGATAACATCTCTCCATGGGTCCTGAGAGATGGAGCAGAGGTGCTATGTGTACAACTAACAACAATCAACACATTGAAACAGGGCAATTACCTGAAGTATGGAAGACAGCAAATGTAGTCCCAATTTTTAAAAAAGGAGACAGACACGAAGCATTAAATTACAGGCCAGTGTCACTGACATGTATAGCGTGCAAGGCCATGGAGAAGATTATCAGGAGAAGAGTGGTGGACCACCTAGAAAGGAATGAGCTTATCAATGACAGCCAGCACAGTTTCAGGGATAGGAAATCCTGCATCACAAACCTACTGGAGTTCTATGATAGGGTGATGGCAGTAAGACATGAGAGAGAGAGAGGGATGGGTAGATTGCATTTTCTTGGACTGTAAGAAGGTGTTTGATACAGCTCCACACAAGAGATTAGTGCAAAAGCTGGAGGACCAGGCAGGGATAACAGGGAAGACACTACAATGGATCAGGGAATACCTGTTAGGGAGACAACAGCGAGTTATGGTACGTGGTGTGTCAGAGTGGGCACCTGTATTGAGTGGGATGCCACAAGGATCAGTCCTTGGACCGGTACTGTTTCTTGTATTTGTGAATGACATGACGGAAGGAATAAACTCCAAAGTGTCCCTGTTTGCAGATGATGTGAAGTTGATGAGAAGAATTCAATTGAACGAAGACCAGGCAGGACTACGGAGGTATCTGGACAGGCTGCAGGACTGGTCTTGCAATTGGCTTCAGGAATTCAACCCCACCAAGTGCAAAGTCATGAAGATTGGGGAAGGGCAAAGACGACCACAGATGGAGTACAGTCTAGGGGGCCAGAGACTACAAACCTCACTCAAGGAAAAAGGATTGTGGGGTGAGTATAACACCGGGCACGTCTCTTGAGGTGCACATCAACCAAATAACTGTGGCAGCATACGAGCAATTGGCAAATTTGAGAACAGCATTCTGACATTTTAATAAGGAGTCATTCAGGACCCTGTATACTGTGTATGTTAGGCCTATACTGGAGTATGCAGCACCAGTTTGGACCCTCACCTAGCCAAGCATGTAAGAAAACTAGAGAAAGTGCAAAGGTTTGCAACAAGACTACTCCCAGAGCTAAGGGGTATGTCCTACGAGGAGAGGTTAAGGGAAATCAACCTGAACACCCTGGAAGCCAGGTGAGATAGGGGGATATGGTAATGACATATAAAACACTGAGAGGAAGAGACAAAGTGGACAAAGACAGGATGTTCCAGAGATGGGACACAGCAACAAGGGGTCACAGTTGTAAGTTGAAGACTCAGATGAACCACAGGGATGTCAGGAAGTATTTTTTCAGTCACAGAGTGCCTGCACTCTGAAGGAGGGGTGTTAATGTTGCAGTTTAAAAACTGTAGTGTAAAGCATCCTTCTGGCAAGACAGTGATGGAGCGAATGATGGTGAAAGTTTTTCTTTTTCGGGCCACCCTGCCTTGGTGGGACTCGGCCAGTGTGATAATAAAAAAAATAGAGTTGTCAGGAAGTGGAATAGTCTGGGAAGTGATGTAGTGGAGGCAGGATCTACATATAGCTTTAAGGAGAGGTATGATAAAGCTCATGGAGCAGGTGGAGTGACTGAGTAGCGGCCAGTGAAGAGGCGGGGCCAGGAGCTGAGACTCGACCCCTGCAATCACAACTAGGTGAGTACACACACACACGCACAGGAAGTATTTCTTCGGTCATAGAGTTGTCAGGAAGTGGAACAGTCTGGAGAGTGATGTAGTGGAAGCAGGATCCACACATAGTTTTAAATAGAGGTATGATAAAGCTCATGAAGCAGGGAGAGAGAGGATCTAGTAGCGAATTCAGTATACCGTTCTGTTCTTGATTCGCCGGTATGATTGCCCGGCCTGGGTCTTTTCCAAGAGGTGGCTTGGCTTTGGCTCCCTGCCGAGGGAGTGTCTCAGACCATTGTCTGCCATGAGAAGAGGTACAAGTACCTCCTCGTCTTCTGGCACCAACTGTCCCAAGGCCTAGCCCCATTCCCCACCCCCACGGGACTCAGAGGGAGAAGCTAGGCACCTTGGGCTGCCACGAACCCTGCTCACACTGGGCTCGAAGGGTGTGGCAGCTGTATAGCAGCAGAAGATATCAGGAGATGCAAAGGCAGCAAGCACTACAGAATCCTTTTCGAGCCTCACCCCAGCTTTAGGCCGAGGCCCGAGCTCTGGGGAAGCTCAAGAATGCCCCTTGCTGTGTGTGTTGCTGCTGTTACTATTACACTTGTCCGTTGCACTCTCTTCTTTCTTACTTCAGTATACTGTGCTGCTACCATGAGCTACACAACACATTTGAGAGCTAGAGTTGTATTATCTGTCACCCTCATGACGCAGGATGATCATGACTCAGGATGATCATGATGCAGGATGATCATGATGCAGGATGATCATGATGCAGGATGATATTCATACACTGATTGTTTTGTCCACCAGCTTATGCTTGTAGCAGAAAGGCGATCAGATTGAAAAAAAAAAATTGTATTTACGTATATAGCGTTCCACCTGCTGGTGTGTTCTGGACACAGTCATTATTTTCAAAAAGTTTCCTGCGTTAGCTTAATACGAATTCTTTCACCCATTTTGAAGATTCTTATACAACGTCACTAACATCACAGGAAGTGGCGTATTTGTGTGAATGTCAGATTGTGATTATACCACAGAAATACGTTAATGTATTCAGCATAGCTGTATACTCCAGGTATACATGATCATATCGAATTCAAAAAGAGATCACAGTATATGTGTGTGTGTGTGTGTGTGACCCGACAATTAATATTTACACCAATAACTCATTACAGTTGTGACAGGGTGTGGACGTGTGATTTGCTCATTACTCTATAATTTGTTCATAATTGTAGCAATGTATAAACGTAAGTAAGTAAATTTACTTACATGATTCATTACCTTTGTACCTTGTTCAGCTATCAAAACCTTGGGGCCCAGCCCCTGGACCCATTATGTACCTCTGTAATCTGTAAATACCTTTGTAACTTGTCATGATTGTGACCTGGAGCTCATTACCTTTGTAACTTGCTCAGCTATCAAACTTTGGGGCCCAGTCCCTGGACCCATTATGTACCTCTCTAATCTTTTGACTACCACCCACAGGATGGGTATGGGGTGGATAATAAACATATTAAACTAATTAAACTAAGGATGATAGATGTCCAGTAGATCTGTCAGTGCACAGATATTGTGTGGCAGATATCAGATCACTTATTCAATTCTGAATATCTTTTATGAAATATAGTGTATGATAGTGATGCCAAGTTTGTTTTAGTAGGAAGACCCAGACTGGGGTAGTAATTGTATCATTGGCATTTGCAGTACAGTGGACCCCCGGTTAACGATATTTTTTCACTCCAGAAGTATGTTCAGGTGCCAGTACTGACCGAATTTGTTCCCATAAGAAATATTGTGAAGTAGATTAGTCCATTTCAGACCCCCAAACATACACGTACAAACGCACTTACATAAATACACTTACATAATTGGTCACATTCGGAGGTAATCGTTATGCGGGGGTCCACTGTATTCATACTTTTGCGTATCTTGGAAAGCTAACTTTCTTTTTTGTTACTGCAAATATTTAATTCATTTATATGTAGCGCTCACTACTATGTGTATTACAGTAAAAATTAAGGAAAAGTCACTAGTAGTTTAAAAATTAAACGTAATGATTATAAGTGCAAATTTTGCAGCCTAATTAAACTTAATGATCATGAGCACATATTTTGCAGCCTTCCTGAAGGTGATAGACTGCGCTGAGACAGCCAGGGTGGGGCAAGTGTCGTGTCACCGACCCAACGTCACTGTCAACGTCTGGAACCAGATCCTGAGGCTGGAGGTCGGCCCGGAACTCTGCGAGTGAGTAATATGAGTAATAGTAATACGTACTTTATTTCAGCAAGGTACAATATTTGTACAAAGGTGAGTGAAATTTGGGTGCACATAATGATAATAATAATAATATGTTTAATAATAATAATATTGTCCTTGGAGGCAAAGAGGGGAATGTATGAGAGTATAGTTTTACCAACGCTCTTATATGGGTGTGAAGCATGGGTGATGAATGTTGCAGCGAGGAGAAGGCTGGAGGCAGTGGAGATGTCATGTCTGAGGGCAATGTGTGGTGTGAATATACAGTGGACCCCCGGTTAACGATATTTTTTCATTCCAGAAGTATGTTCAGGTGCCAGTACTGACCGAATTTGTTCCCATAAGGAATATTGTGAAGTAGATTAGTCCATTTCAGACCCCCAAACATACACGTACAAACGCACTTACATAAATACACTTACATAATTGGTCGCATTGGAGGTGATCGTTATGCGGGGGTCCACTGTAATGCAGAGAATTCGTAGTTTGGAAGTTAGGAGGAGGTGCGGGATTACCAAAACTGTTGTCCAGAGGGCTGAAAAAGGGTTGTTGAGGTGGTTCGGACATGTAGAGAGAATGGAGCGAAACAGAATAACTTCAAGAGTGTATCAGTCTGTAGTGGAAGGAAGGCGGGGTAGGGGTCGGCCTAGGAAAGGTTGGAGGGAGGGGGTAAAGGAGGTTTTGTGTGTGAGGGGCTTGGACTTCCAGCAGGCGTGCGTGAGCATGTTTGATAGGAGTGAATGGAGACGAATGATTTTTAATATTTGACATGCTGTTGGAGTGTGAGCAAAGTAACATTTATGAAGGGGTTCAGGGAAACCGGCAGGCCGGACTTGAGTCCTGGAGATGGGAAGTACAGTGCCTGCACTCTGATGGAGGGGGTGTTAATGTTGCAGTTTAAAACTGTAGTGTAAAGCACCCTTCTGGCAAGACAGTGATGGAGTGAATGATGGTGAAAGTTTTTCTTTTTCGGGCCACCCTGCCTTGGTGGGAATCGGCCAGTGTGATAATAATAATAATAATAATGTTTATTTACTACAAATGCATGTACAAGGTATACAGACCATAGCTGACATCAATGACATACTACTATGTATATAGAAATCCCTTGTTATGCTGAGCATTTCGGGCAAATTAGGTCAGTGTCCTAGGATGCGACCCACACCAGCCGACTAACATCCAAATACTCATTTTACTGATAGGTGAACATAGACAATAGGTGTAAAGAAACACTCCTAATGTTTCTACCCTGGCTGGGAATTGAACCCAGACCCTCATCATGTTAAGCGAGAGTTTAGCCACAAGGCCAACAGAGCCACCAGAAAGCCCTAATGTATGCAGAGCATTTTGGGCACAATCATCATGTTGAAGGATGAAACAATGTTAAAACATTGGAATCTTTATTGTGAATATGCCAACCAGTGCCTTTTCTTCAGTCAGTACAGAGATTAATGATGGAAGATGAAAGGAGTTTGAGGTAATCAGTCCCTCATCTGCCTTGAGTTGATGTATTTGGTCCATCAGTCTCAAGATTGTTGGACGGAACACATATTTCAGAATTTAGACTTAAATTTATATACTAATTAATCAAAATTATTCAACACATTAGGTAACTGTTTCATTATGTACATAAATATTTTTCAAGTATGTTTTCACACAAGCAGAGAGAATGTAATGACAAATCATGAATAATTTTCAAATTATGGTTGCAGGGATAGAGTCACAGCTCCTGGCCCCATGCATGTATTTACAAGATATGCTTGAATAAATCATCTGGCTTTGTAGTTCATGTTAGGACGTTTCCTACCACTGTTAGAATTAATAGTTCTTTAATTAGAAGACTCATATTTGATAGTGTACAGCTGTCTACAAAAGCAAAATGAGGTAAAATTATCTAGTTGACTCAAAACTCGATTAAAAATTTTTTTTAATAGTATGGAGTCTGACTCGAGTCTGGAACACATTCGTACAGCATTATCATGTTAACGAGATAAAGTCAGTTGATCAAATGAAAATGCTGGCCCACAGATAGCTCCAACTTCACCCTGTTCCTTACTTGTATGTTTCATAATAAAAATACAGTGGACCCCCGGTTAACGATATTTTTTCACTCCAGAAGTATGTTCAGGTGCAAGTACTGACCGAATTTGTTCCCATAAGGAATATTGTGAAGTAGATTAGTCCATTTCAGACCCCCAAACATACACGTACAAATGCACTTACATAAATACACTTACATAATTGGTCGCATTCGGAGGTGATCGTTATGCAGGGGTCCACTGTACTTGTATGTTTCGTAACAATAAAACTGCTTTCAAATGAGCTGATGTAGGTAACATCTCTTAGCTTGTCAATAAAGTTAGGAATCCTTAACCTGTAAATAGCTTGTCAATAAAACTAGGGATCCTTAACCTAACCTTGTCAAACCCTGTGGAAAAAAAAAAAAAAGGTACAGAGTTATGTTTCGACATTTTTACTGTACTGAAGGTACAAAAAAAAAAAAAAAAGGAGGGATCAGTATGAATTTATGTGACAATTTCTGACAGATATAAGAAATGAAAACAAAATGTTGTGCCGTACCATACTACCAGCCTTGCTGGAGAGAGTAAGAGCAGTAGAGAGTAATTTTAAGGTCTTCACTCCTTAGTGTTGAGAGAAGGTAATCATTTCCTTAACCTTGACATGTGTTAAGACCCTTTGCCTTGATAGGTGTTCAGTTCCTTACATAGATCAAGGCTAAGAGTAGTAGTACAGTTATCCGGTTCCATCAGTAATCCGGCACTAATTTTGGCTAGCATAATTTCAAATTTCTTCATTGTACTGCCTCAAATCATTATACTGACTCCAATTCCATCATTATACTGACTCAGAAATTGTGCAGATGGTTGTAAATCCACAGCAGCAAGCCAGTGGAGGAGAAAGCAGTGATGAAAATGAGGAAGGTGTAGCAGAAAGTGTCTATTGATAGGTTAATTAAGTGTATTCTAACCTAACTACTCTGTAATCTGGCAAACTCACTAATCCGGCACATTACATGTCCCAATGATGCCGGATTAGTGATGGCCAACCTGTAGTAGTATTATAATATTTGCCATGACCGTGTCCTGGCACAGGTCTTAATCTTTTGATGACCTATCTAAGGCTTAGAGATTGAAAACCTTCTGTTAAGGCTAAGGGACTGAACACTTCAAAATTACTTATCCACTTCTTCCACTATTTCCAGTTGAAAAGTTGCCTTAATATTAGTAGATTGCAATAAGCCTTGGCAAAACACCTAATCAATAAAGATACCTCAATGTTGTGCTTGTGTCCTATTAATCAACTTGTCAGTGCTGTATACTGTGAATGTAGTAATAAATAGTATTTAGCAAGTATTATAATAGGTATTGTGATGACAGACATGCTTGTCATATGCCATATTTTACTCTTATATCAGGGTCATTATATTTATTCTACAATACTTATTTGAAATTCTTAAATGATTTTATTTCCAAAAATGTGTGAATAGTGCTTATAGTTATTTTGTTGATTATATCTGCCTGAAAAAGTAATTCTTGGCAGTTTATTTAATGAATGCAAAAAGAAAAAGTTAAGGAACTGGAAAAGTTATTAATTAAAATTAATAACTTTTCCAGTGCCTTAGTTAAGAAGTTTGTAGTTTAAAAATTTGCAGTGCAGTTATCCCCCTAAAGAATATGATAGTTAACATAGATAATTAAGATAAATATGAAGTCCCTCTTTCAGTTCGCTCAACACGCAGAGGTCATGTCTGCTGGAGAACGAGTATGTGAGGAGAGAGTGCGGCGGCCCAGTGAAGGAGGACCTCTACAAGAATGTGTCTGGGGTGTTCCTGGCTACTTGGTGCCGCCTGCCCCTCCACTCACACTTCTTCCCTTACACGGGGACTTCTAGTCTACCTCCCTCTGCCCTCTCCCCTACTGTGGTGCTGATGGTCTTTCTTGTAACAAGTTACCTTGTCTGATGGTGGTCACAGAGTCCTCATGGGAAAGGAAACTAATATAACATTTTGGTTAGGATATAATGCATATTTGAGTGAAAATTTGGTGCTTCAGATACATTGTAATCTACAAATTATCTTGGATGATGAACCTAGTGATCCAAGTGAAGTATTTAGTAAGAAATAATATATTTTGCTTACCTTGGATAGGCAAAATATAAGGAAACAGTGGTGCAACCCACCTTTAAGGCAGGTGACCTGCCGGGGTGAGGAAATGTGAATGCAGATTGCATCATACAAACATGTGCACACTGACGTGTACACAAGACTATGTATGTGCTTGTTTCGTCTAAACAGCGTTTTATGCTGAACAGAAAATACTCACAAAAATGCCTTATATTATGGCCTTTTTTTACTTAAATATGACAGTGATGCAAGAATGAGCTCTGCACAAGCGACCATTTTAGATCATTTATGAATTTTCCCTAACTTTCATGTATAACTGAAATATTTTTTCTTGACATTCCAGGATTACCACCTGAACTGTTATTATCTATTGTAATGGGAGGTGTATACTGCATAGACGAGAGCTTTAGTCCCTCTGTGACATCCGCTTCTATGTGGATGCGTTTACATATTCTGCTCATAAATTTTTGTTAATAAAATTGCTTTTAGTATGCCAACACTGAGTGAGACGGATTATAACTCGATTGACACTAACAGTGTTGCTTTGGCTTGCTTAAAATTTGTGCCTGTAAGTGTTGCTACTAACATTAATGATGTTGCTGAGTACATCTGTTGTCTTCACTACACATTACCGCTTCTGATTACAACAATCAGTAACAAAATTGATGAATTAGACATATGTACAACATCTGGGTGTGTTTACTTGTAGACATTTCTCTGTCTAGTAGCTTTATCAATACATTACATGGTCATAATATAAAGACTAAAAATGCACACAGCAGACTGTGGAAGACGAGGTAATCATGCCTTCAGAACCACACAAAGAAGTCAGTGAAAAATGAGATAATCAGTCCCTCAGCCTACGAGGGACTGATTACCTCATCTTCCAGTGTCTGCTGTATATATTTCTACAGTCTTTATATTATGTCCATGTAATGTATAAATAAAGCCACTAGATGGCAAAACGTCTACAACTAAAGATACCCAAATGTTGCTGGTGTCTAATTCATCTTGTCAGTATTGAATACCACTGATATACAGTAATAAAATTGTCTAACAAAGCAGCCATAGAATTAGTTTCTCCAACTTGGGAATCAGTCAGTGCTAAATTTTGTTTTGAAAGTTCTAGATTAAAAGAAATAAAATTGTAAATGTGATGATTAAGTACATCTGTTGTCTTCACTACACAGTGCTTTTTGTGAGTAAGACAGTCAAATCAGTAATAAATAACCCATAAAATGGCCTTAGGATTGGTTTATCTAACTTGGGAATAAAACAGTGCTATATTTTGTTTGTTAACATTGCTGCTGTAATCTTAAATGCCATGATTTATTTTATAAATTTTTCCATAGCATAAATTTGAATAGTATATATGACAGAGTTCTTTTTAAATATTTTTTCTTTCAGTGTAATTCATGACTGTTCCATGGTACCCATAATATTGCAAGAGTTTTCCTAGAAGATAGCATATTAAAAACAACATATTTTTGAGAAACAGGTCAGTTCTTGTCATGAAATCCACACAGATCTGGTCGTCACTCCCACACTATTGAGCAAACTATAGGCACAAGTTACACAGCTTTCAAATAAAAAAACTTTGTAAGATAGGCTCTATACACACATCTGTAATTTGACAGAGCGTTCCATGCATCAGTGCTGAATATTTCTGCTCTTCTTGGAGTGGCATGTGCACTAAATTTTTTTATTTTTTAACGCACCAGCCATCTCCCATGGAGGCAGACTGACCTAATTAGTAATTTATACAGTAGAAAGGGTTACTAGCCCCCTTGCTCCCAGCATTTTATTTGCCTTTTATGACACACATGGCTTTCAGAGGGAGGATTCATGTGAGGTATATATAATCACTAATTTATACATGTATCTTGTCACAAGTTGTACAATAACTGTTTCATAACTGGGCTGCCCCAACTTGTAATATTGAGGGGCGAGTTGCTTACTTCGAGGATGCACTCTGAATAATTCTTTTTGTAAGCTTTATGACAGGTTGTCCCCTGTAATGCTATTCTGTGATTGCTTAATTTTTGTGATTGAATCCCTTGTGATGATGCTTTGTGATATATATGTGAGCAGTTTTGTTTTATCACTCTCCGTTAGTTTTATCTTTTGTAAATAATCACCTTCATGATAATTATACGAGTTTTGCATTTCAGTGTTACTTCATGTTGATTACTTTTTTCCTAATGCTTGCTTTGATCTGTTCTCTTCTGAAACATTATGTAACTGGGTGTTAACTGTAGTGCTGCTTTTGTTTTATTCAACATTGTAATGTTGCTTTTTTGCTGGCTATTTCTTGATCTGGTCTGTATACAGAAGTTACGTTTAGTAAGCAGACATTGGCAAATCTGCTACTTAGGACTTAATTTTTGATGTTCTTATTATATGATTGAATTGTAACTCCTGAGAAGCAGAGTATCTTTACCGAGGTCTGTATATGGATATGTATGTTCATCAAGGTTTCTTTATATACTGATAAATGAATAGCTCTCATTCTATTTTTTTTTTAACAAGTCAGCCGTGTGTGTAAGTGTATACTTAAAGATGGGGTATCTCTTACTGTATATATATACAGTGATTATATATATATATATATTTTTTTTTTTCAACAAGTCGGCCGTCTCCCACCGAGGCAGGGTGACCCAAAAAAAGAAAGAAAATCCCCAAAAAGAAAATACTTTCATCATCATTCAACACTTTCACCACACTCACACATTATCACTGTTTTTGCAGAGGTGCTCAGAATACAACAGTTTAGAAGCATATACGTATGATACACAACATATCCCTCCAAAACTATATATATATATATATATTATATATATATATATATATATATATATATATATATATAATATATATATATATATATATATATATATTATATATATAATATTATGCAAAACAACCACTCTGAAAGAATAGAGAAATTCCAAGCGCTTTCGTGACTACTCACATATCAAGGAACTATGAAAGCAAAGCATCCAAGAAGCTTATAAGGGGTCTGGCCAACACCTCACTATCAGATCCCACAACGGTTAAACACCTGACGCGCGCCGACACAACTGGTTCCTTGATAATGTGAGTAGTCACGAAAGCGCTTGGAATTTCTCTATTCTTTCAGAGTGGTTGTTTTGCATATTCTGAAATCACCTGTTTACTGTGATCTTATTGCATATATATATATATATATATATATATATATATATATATATATATATATATATATATATATATATATATATATATAATATATATATATATATATATATATATATGTATATATATATATAGGGGTTTGGGATATTGGCAGTTTGGAGGGATATGTTGTGTATCTATTATACGTATATGCTTCTAAGCTGTTGATTTCTGAGCACCTCTGCAAAAGCAGTGATAATATGTGAGTGTGGTGAAAGTGTTGAATGATGATGAAAGTATTTTCTTTTGGGGGATTTTCTTTCTTTTTTGGGTCACCCTGCCTCGGTGGGATAATTTGAGTAGTCACGAAAGCACTTGGAATTTCTATATTCTTTTGCAGTGGTTGTTTTGCATATAAATATATATGTATGTACAGTGGACCCCCGCTTAACGATCACCTCCAAATGCGACCAATTATGTAAGTGTATTTATGTAAGTGCGGTTGTACGTGTATGTTTGGGGGTCTGAAATGGACTAATCTACTTCATAATATTCCTTATGGGAAAAAATTCGGTCAGTACTGGCACCTGAACATACTACTGGAATGAAAAAAGTTCGTTAACCGGGGGTCCACTGTATATATATATGTATAGATATATATTTTGTTTTTTATCAAACTGGCCGTATCCCACCGAGGCAGGGTGGCCCAAAAAGAAAAACAAAAGTTTCTCTTTTTAAATTTAGTAATTTATACAAGAGAAGGGGTTACTAGCCCTATATATATATATATATATATAATATATATATATATATATAATATAAATAATTATATATATAATATATATATGCAAAACAACCACCCCTGAAAGAATAGAGAAATTCCAAGCGCTTTTGTGACTACTCACATTATCAAGGAACTAGAAAGTAAAGCATCCAAGGAAGGTATAAAAGGGGGTCTGGCCGGCACCTCACTATCAGATTCCACAAGGGTTTTAAACACCTGACGCCGCCGACCCAACTGGGATAGGTCCTTGGCACAACTCACCCCCACAAACTATTACCCAAGAAAATTTAAAAATTATTTGTCCAGTGTATTATTAAATTCTTCCCAAATTCTATTAATTATAAATGGATCAAATTTTATATAAACCAAGGGGAAATATTCATATTACGTATTGTCAAAACTGCTTTTTATGAAACAAGATTCAATTATATTCCTGTCGACCATGGACTTGCTTGATACTACTTTCTCAACTTTTTGAAAATCAATTGGATGGTTAAAATCTCTTACTGAATAAATAGAGCATTGGAATCTTGTCCAGTTCTAATGCTATATTTATGTTGTTTTAATCTTAGTTCAAGATTTTTACCAGTTTGACCGTAATAAACTTTATCGCAAATTTTACAAGGAATCTTAAAAGACACATCCATCAGCATTTTGGGGGGAATTCTTTATCAAAAGTTTTTTTTACTGTATCAAGATTTTTGAATACAACTTTAATATTAAAAGTTTTAAGAAGAGAAGGCATATCAACCAAGTTTTCATGGTAAGGGAGAACCAACATATTTTTAGTTGAATAAGGCTGGTTGTCCCTTTTGGTTTGGGTAAAAAGTATTTCTAGCAACTTTAAAAAGGTTTATCAATTACATTTTTTGGGGTATTTTAAATCTTTACCTATTTCATAAATTTTGGATATTTCCTCATCTATGAACTCAGGACTACAAATTCGAAAAAGCTCCCCAAAAACATTGATGAGAAAACAGACAGTTTGACTCTATCTTGATGCAGGAATAATAGTGGACATAGGAAAAAGTTATTTGTAGGTTTTCTGTAAATTTTAAATTTGAATTCATTATTACCCTTAATAATTAAACATCTAGAAAAGGCAATGGTTATTTTTCTTCAAAATCAACAGTAAAGTTTATAGAATGGGCTAAGCTATTTAATTTTCCTAGGGAAAAGGTGTATATCTACATTTGTGGGCTATAAGATTCCTTGTAAAATTTGCGATAAAGTTTATTACGGTCAAACTGGTAAAAATCTCGAACTAAGATTAAAAACAACATAAATATAGCATTATACTGGACAAGATTCCAATGCTCTATTTATTCATGTAAGAGATTTTAACCATCCAATTGATTTTCAAAAAGTTGAGAAAGTAGTATCAAGCAAGTCCATGGTCGACAGGAATATAATTGAATCTTTTTTCATAAAAAGCAGTTTTGACAATAATATGAATATTTCCTTTGGTTTATATAAATTAGATCCATTTATAATTAATAGAATTGGGAAAAATTTAATAATACACTGGACCCAAAAAATTTTTAAATTTTTGGTAGAATAGTTTGTGGGGTGAGTTGTGCCAAGGACCTATCCAAGTTGGGTCGGCGCGCGTCAGGTGTTTAAAACCCTTGTGGGATCTGATAGTGAGGTGCCAGCCAGACCCCTTATATAGCTTCCTTGGATGCTTTACTTTCATAGTTCCTTGATAATGTGAGTAGTCACGAAAGCTCTTGGAATTTTCTCTATTCTTTCAGAGTGGTTGTTTTGCATATTCTGAAATCACCTGTTTACTGTGATCTTATTGCATATATATATATATATATATATATATATATATACAGTGGACCCCCGGTTAACGATATTTTTTCACTCCAGAAGTATGTTCAGGTACCAGTACTGACCGAATTTGTTCCCATAAGAAATATTGTGAAGTAGATTAGTCCATTTCAGACCCCCAAACATACACGTACAAACGCACTTACATAAATACACTTACATAATTGGTCACATTCGGAGGTAATCGTTATGCGGGGGTCGACTGTAATATATATATATATATATATATATATATATATATATATATATATATATTATATATATATATATATATATATATATATATATATATATATATATATTTTTTTATTTTATTTTTTTTATTATCACACCGGCCGATTCCCACCAAGGCAGGGTGGCCCGAAAAAGAAAAACTTTCACCATCATTCACTCCATCACTGTCTTGCCAGAAGGGTGCTTTACACTACAGTTTTTTAAACTGCAACATTAACACCCCTCCTTCAGAGTGCAGGCACTGTACTTCCCATCTCCAGACTCAAGTCCGGCCTGCCGGACTTGATATATATATATATATATATATATATATATATATATATATGTATATATATGTATATGTATATATATATATATATATATATATATATATATATATATATATATATATATATATATATATATATATATATATATATATATATATATATATATATATGCAAAACAACCACTCTGAAAGAATAGAGAAATTCCAAGCGCTTTCGTGACTACTCACATTATCAAGAAACACCTGGCGCGCGACTGCAGTGTTCTCTCTCTTATGAGTTGCACGTCAGGTGTTTCTTTGTTGTGGGATTGGATAGTGAGGTGTGGGCTACCCCTTTATATACCTTCCTTTGATGCTTTTCTTTCATTGTTCCTTGATATGTGAGTAGTCACGAAAGCACTTGGAATTTCTCTATTCTTTCACAGTGGTTGTTTTGCATATATATATATATATATATATATATACAGTATATATACAGTGGACCCTCGACCAACGATATTAATCCGTTCCTGAGAGCTCATCGTTAGTCGAGTTAATTTTTCCCATAAGAAATAATGGAAATCAAATTAATCCGTGCAAGACACCCAAAAGTATTGAAAAAAAAAAAAATTTGACCACATGAAATATTAATTTTAATGCACACAAACTGAAGAAGACATGTACAATTACATGACACTTACCTTTATTGAAGATCTGGTGATGATTGATGGGATGGAAGGAGGGGAGACTGTGGATGGTGTTAGTGTTTAGAAGGGGAATCCCCTTCCATTAGGAGTTGAGGTGTCAAGTCCTTTTCTGGGGTTACTTCCCTTCTTTTAATGCCACTAGGACCAGCTTGAGAGTCACTGGACCTCTGTCACACAACATATCTGTCCATAGAGGCCTGTACCTCCAGTTCCTTTATGACATTCCTAAAGTGTTTCACAACATTGTCAGTGTCACAATTAAACACTTGTTCAGTTTTCAATTCTTCACTGTCTACGTACTCCTTGAATTCCTGCACATATTTTTCAGCTGCTTTTTGGTCCGAACTGGCAGCCTCACCATGCCTTATCACACTATGTATGCCACTACGATTCCTAAATCTCTCAAACCAACCTTTGCTGGCCTTAAATTCACTCACATCACCACTAGTTGCAGGCATTTTTCTAATTAAATCCTCATGCAACTTCCTAGCCTTTTCACATATGATCGCTTGAAGATGCTATCTCCTGCTATCTGTTTTTCGTTTATCCACACCACTAACATCCTCAACACTTCGTCAATTGGGTCTCAGTTTCG